TGAACAAACCTGCAAAGATGATGTATGTACATGTAAATGTTTCAGGGTACCAATCCTTGATTTGACTTAGATTTTCTGGATTAATGACCAGTTTTTTAGAGAAGGTTCATTCAAAGTAACAATATACTCTTTGGTGATCAGTAAACATAGATGATGTATCCTGCTTCTGATGCTGGATGTAACATACATTTTCAGGGTTATTAACCCAGACCAACTTGCATAGATTTTGGATCCAGGTGATATACATTACCAGAGTGTTTGTTGAGTGAGACTTTGCCTTACTAGTAGATAACATTTATAGAAGTGAGCTTTGTATTCTTTGATTAGGTATGTTTTTTTCTTTGCTCAGGATATATATACCATCAGTGCCAACTACCAAACATTTTATATAATAGATGTAGCTGTTGTTCAACTGAATATGATAAAACTGTGGATGAAAATAATTTGATTTTTGTACCTTTGAATGTATTGAATTAATTTGTAAAAGCTGTTATGATACAATGTTTGATATTTTATAAAAGTTTTTAGCATATGCAATCAATAAATGTATCAACATTTTTATTTTATTATTCTTTTTACCCTGCAAACTTCTTAAAAACAGAATAGTAATGATCCATTTAACTGATACTAGGTTAGTGTCACAATGTACTGGTATATCATGTATACTGAACTGTAAATAAGAAACATCTAAATAGGTAAAATCACAGCATGAATCATTGGATTATGTAAGAAGTGCACTATCTTGTGCTTTGGTATGGTATTAATAATAAATGTTAAACTATCATTTTTTTTTCAAATTAACAAAGGATATGCTTGAGTGACTGTATTTTGACTAGCAGTAAAAATAAAATGATTTTTAAGCATTTGAATTATTTTGATTCATGGTCTCTGCAAGTTTAATGATAGCAAATATGTATATTGAACATGGCATCCACATATTGCTATACTGGATGGGGCATAACTTTTACTGAATCTTAATCACAACCTTGAAATTTTATGTAGTACATGTACTCTTGGTTTCAACTGGTCAAATGTATTCTTAAATCAGAAAGAATTTAAACAAATATAGGCATAGGTCAGAACTTCATCAATTAGTTGGAAAGCGAATGCACTCAGTGACTATATGGTTTAAAAGAAGCTGGGTATAATTAGCAGGAAAAACTACTTGATGTCCACTGTGAACTTTGTGTCCTCAACAAAACAATATGGAGTATACTATACTTGGTCTAAAGAATAATCTATGTCTGCATTCACTTTTAGGTTAAACTGTTTTGGGCATTGAGAGTTTGTTTGTTGTTTAACGTCCCTCTGGAGAATTTTTCACTCATATGGAGATGCCAACACTTGCTGATGGAGAGCTGCAAATGACCTATGCTCGGCACTCAGGGCCAATGGGCAGTGAGGGATCTTTTTCATGCCAGCATCTACTGCGACACTGGACCTCTGTTTGTATGAAGGACCGGTCTCTACGTCCCACAGTGGGATTCAAACTTGTGACAAAAGGATCAACTAACTCCACGACTCTAGAGCATAGGCTCTTTCCACTGCACCACGTGGGCGACAGCATTGAGAGTTAAATGTGGATATCAGAACAAGCTACTCTGGGCTTATACTCTCTATATATTGATTGATTGTATGTTGTTAAACATTCCTCTCAAGATTTTTTCACTCATATGGAGACACCACCACATGTCGGTGGAGATCTGCAAATTTTGTCCTATACTCGGCACTTACGGCCATTGAGCATCGAGGGATTTTTTTTTCGTGCCAGCACCTACTGCGACACACCGTTCACGGTAGCTCAGTCGGTAGAGCGCTCGCTCCGTGATCGGGAGGTCGTGAGTTCGAATCTCGGCCGCGACAGACCTAAGTCGATAAAAAATAGGTAGCAACTGTTCCTTCGCCATGCGCTCGGCACTTTGGAGTGAAAGTTGCGGGTCTTTCGGATGAGACCTTAAAAACCGAGGCCCCGTGTCACGGCAGGCGTTGGCACGATAAAGATCCCTCACTGCTCAATGGCCCTGAGTGCCGAGTAAAGGTCAAAATTTGAAGCCCTTCACCGGTATATGGTGACGTCTCTATATGAGTGAAAAATTCTCGAATGGGAAGTAAAACAATATACAATCAATCAATCAATCAACCTACTGCGACACAGGACCTCCATTTATACGGTCTCATCTGAAGGACCGGTCTCCCCATCCCACAGTGGGATTTGAACCTGCGACGTAAGGATCAACTCCTTACTTCGCTACTCTAGAGCAGACGCTCTAACCACTGCGCCACTGGGGCAACTACTCTCTATTTAAGTCACTTGTGCAATGACTTTAGTTTAATTCAAAGTTTTGTACTGATCATACATTAGCACAAATATCTTTCTGCTGACCTTGACTAATGACCATCCGCAACTATTCTGGTTGGAAACAATATGTTAATTAATGCATAATAAGTGAAATTACTATGAAAGAAAAATGGTCTACTTAAACCACAAGCTATATTTATAAAAAATATACACTGGTCTCCTCAAGTCATATGAGAGAAACATAAAATATTAAGGAGACCATTTTTTTCATATATTTTTAGGAGGCATTTATTATGAAAAAATAAAGCAAGAGTCGACTAAATGGTGTTCTATAGATCTTTGATCTGGTATTTCTTTTTAGAAAAAAGCAAATTTAAAAAATCTGTATATTGTCTCCTTAAGCCATATATAATGGTCTGGTCTCCCTAGTCCTTAAATCAGAGTTATATATATATATATATATATATATATATATATATATATATATATATATATATATATATATATATATATATATATATATATATATATATATATATATATATATATATATAGTTTTTAAAAAATAATATTTGTATTTATCACTTTTTTTAAAATCATTTATCTTTTTATGGGGAGGGGGGGGTGCATTTGATCACTACTTTTATTTCTGATATAATAATCGGAAATGATTTTCTCTTTTATCGACAGGTCACAGTTGCCTAATATTAGAACGTTCGTTTCGTGATCGGGAGGCCTGGTTTCGATTTCGTTCGCCGCGCTGCATTAAACCTAAGACATAAAAAAGTAATGACCGTTCCTTCTCCAAACGCCTGGCATGAGATGTGAAAGTCGGATATTTCGGATGAGACCTTAAAAACTGATGTCTCCTTTTTCCGTAGGAGTTGGTACAATAAAAAAACCTTCACTATTCAATGTCTTAAGTGCCGAGTATAGGTCTAAATTTGAAGCCTTTCACTAGAAGACAGTGACGTTTCTATATTCCAAATTGTTATGTTAAACAACAATTATTTAATAAACCTCTTCTATTACCTCACTGTTTTACTCATATCATAAGTAGTATTTTGTAGACTGTTTCCCTATTTTTCCTACACGCATTGCACCAAGTTTGTGCTTCTGGCGGTCTTGGGATCCTTTGGTACTTAGTTTTGTAGACGTAATATTTTTGTTGGAAATTCTGACGGACAAATTCAGAAAAAACCTAGTCTTGTTTTTAGTTGGTCTCCCTATGGATTTTTCCTTTTAGTTTCTGTTGATTTTTTTTTTTTTTTTTGTTTTTTGGTTTCTGTATTTTCGAACACAATACAATGCGAAAGTTGTTTCTTCTTCAAATTAATCCTTTAATTGTCCTCCTCTTTTCACAATCAGCTTTCCACAATATCACAAGGATTCTCTAACTTTAATTTCTTCTTGAACTCATTGCGATTTGAATTACTTTGTCTTGACTGTAAGTTGTATTTTTTCCTTTATTGTGTCCACGGCCGTATTTTTATTGGCGATTTTCCGGTCTTCTGGTTATCCAGGAATTTCTGTAATTCTTATTTCCCATTAGAAATTCCAGCTAATTGTTGGAAGACCAGGTCTCCGAAGTATACATGCCGTATGTACTCGCCTATACGTCTGACCGCCTATAAGTCGGTTGTATTCTTTAAGGTTATTTTGAAGGGATTGCCATTGACCCGTCTATAAGTCGGTACAACTTTTTGCCAGAATTGGTTGACACTTTCTATCCAATACTCAGAAGTTTTAGGCTGGTTTCAATTAATATTTTTAAAAAGTGACGCCTATATTTAATTTTAATCATTGAACAATTAAGTAATACACACTAAAAGGTAAAAATAAAATTATTAAAATATGCAAATATATGTACTTGTATAATCTTAAAATATATAATGTTATAATATATCCTGCCTCTGTTAAACAATAATCGCAGAAATGTTTAAAAAAAAAGTCATTCCGCCGTTCAGAAAAAATGCAATTTTTTTTATGATTCGCCTATAAGTCGGACACAGAGTTTTGGACCAAAATTTAACTCCAAAAACCGACTTATAGGCCAGTGTATACGGTAAGTGCTGTCAATGAGGAATTCAAGCATCCTTTAATATCAACTTGAGAGTACTTGTATGGTGATACAGAGTGATTTTGAACAAAATAATTTTGTTGATGACCAATCACAAGATCTAAAGATTATTTGGAGTTCTTGAGAATCAATATCTGATTTACACCACTTCTAAAATATGTAGCAGAGTACGGCTGAATTCTTTCTTCACAGCAGTTAATATTCTTATAAGGTGTAAAGATAAGGGCTTGGTAGACTATTTGCTGGACCCGGCGATGTATCTCTGTATGTAAGGATTTTTATGAAGTTTAGGAATCCAGTACAAATAGGGTGGATCAAACCTACTTTGGTTGACTGGAATGGTAAAAGTATTGAACGCTTAAAGTGATGTTTTAGAATTCCATCTTTAGAAAGTGAACTGTGGGTTTAAGTTGGATTTCCAGACTTAGAATTAAAACCAACCCTAATAAAAAAGACTATAGTAAACTATAGTTTACTATAATTAACTTTTATTTCCTAACTAAATAACCTAAGATTATCGCTTAAAAATCTGACTTAAAAATTATGTTATTTTCAACCTATCAACATGCAATATGAAAAATAAAAGCATGTCTTGTAGATATTTGACTCAGTTCATTTTTTTGTTTTAATACTGTCAAAAAGTACATGTATATGCGTATTTGGTATATACAAGCGAAACACAATTGTCTCAAATATTGTTATTATTGTACACAATCCTTTATAATATTGATATACCCAAGAATAAAGTTTTAGCAAGCAGACCGTATGGCGTAATAACGCAATATGTTCTCGAGTTTAAAAATTGATTTACAGTAATAAGAATAAAAACTGTATCAATCATAGACATAGCATGAAAAATAATTGACTAGGGTTTTTTTTTCCAGCTCAAGGTTCCTCAACGTCTGATTTAAAATTTGAATAATTAACCATAAACTTGCAAATCTTGTGCTAAAATTACAATTTTATTAAAATAGAAATAATGTAATTAAACGATTAAATTAAATTAATCTTTTGGAATAAAAATAAGGCGCATGTCATTAACTGCAATAAAACGTTATGTAGTAATTCTTGTGGCACAAAAAGCTTAAAAACATCAAGATTGAAAAATAAGTAACTTCCTTTGAGATGGTGCCAGTTTCAAAGGGCCTCACTTTAGTAAAGGACAAAAGAGTGATTGTGACAAGTACACGTAAAGGATTGGAACTGGAGTCTGAGCTTGATCTTTGACATGCACATTTCCTCATGGGCACCTTTTGGGTGAGGTATGAGGCAGGTAAGGCCAAATCGAGAAAAAATGCTCTGGGCAATGAATTTGCACAGATAGGCTTTGATCTTGACCTTTAATGTAGAAAAAAAAAGATAATTATCACTGCACCTTTTTTTCAGCAAAGGCAGTGAAGTTCGATTCTGATAGGGCCTAACAGGAAATAAATAGGCCAAGAATTTTATGGGGATTTTTTTTTACATTGACCTTTGATTAAGAAAATTTGTCACTGCATATCCTCTATCTACAAGAACCTTTAGGTTATATTATGTTTCATACTGGGAAAGGGTGGGGTGGGGAGAAAATATGCTCACAACAAATATTTTACACAGAAAATGTTATCTAATCCGAATGGTCAAAAAAGGTTCAAGTTCACAGCAAACTTTCTACCAGCAAGGACACTTTAGGTGACGTAGAGCTAGAATGGGCGAAGGGGGGGTATATAACAAAGATATCTGCTTTGACCTCGACCTCTTACCTACTAAAATTTTTCAAGGTAATTGACACTCTTAACGTGCAAGCACTTCATGGGTGAAGTACGATCAAAAGAGGAAAAAGGGTAAAAATATACGCTCCAGACAAAAATTTTACACAGAGGTGTTTTTTTTTTAACTTGACCTTTGACATAGAAACTTCATTCCAGATCACTACACATTCTCTAAACAAAGATACTCTAGGGATGAAGTATGAGCCAGACTGGGTCCATGGAGTAAGAAAATACTATTCATTCAGGTGATATCGGATGGACAGATGGACGGAAGGACTGACAGACTGATTACGTTGGGCACCCGCAAAGTGAGGTCCTGATAATTAATGAGTATTTAGTAAGAGTGTTATTTCTTTTAGCAAAAATGTGTCCAATAGTTGACAAAATAAATCACATTTATGGAATATTTTCTTTCTCAGACTACATTCAGTAACTTGTTTTCCCCAACGATTATGGAATCAGACGTCTGTAAGTTCTTGTCTTTTCTTTTTTCACAGATGAAACAGTTCCTTAAAAAAAGAACAGCATATTACTTAAAGTGTCTGTGTTGAACCTTCTTCCAAATACAGGTAAACTTCGTTATCTCGACATCGACGGGACCATCGGAAAATGTCGAGATATCCGAGGTGTCGAGATATCAGAGTTGAGACTTGACGTCCAAGATTTCATAGCAAAACAGACAAGCTTATTATATGTACATGACTTTAATATAGACTGTAGCGCAACATATTTCAGAATTCCCTCTATTTTTATTAAAAATCTAAGAAATTATTTTTAAAAATCTTGTTTAAAAACGTGTTCTTTATCGAAATCTTTCTAAATTCCCAAAGTTTCAGCACAAAGTTAAAGCATTGAGCTGCATTCGCGTGTAACTTGCCTTTTTGTCAGAACAGGATACGAAATGCGCTCTACAAACTTCGAACCGTATAAAGTCGACATCCAATATACGGAAGAAAAAAAAATAAATGCGGATTATTTTTTTCTTATTTCGATAAGGAAGAATGTACATTAAAATTAATTTTTTAAAGAGATTTGTGTATCTAAACTAACGTAGTGATGTTACAGATGCACGAATTACGGCTGATTCAGTCAATCGTGTCGTTAATTGGATTGTTTCCTGTTGAATACATTTTAACTACAAAATATCATTAAAACATCTTTTTTTAATTCTTTAGTTTGAATTATTCAGTGTGCTTGTTATTCATTGTAATTTAGTTATCTTTCAAATTTAAAAGTTATGTTAGGTTTCGATATAAAAAACCGTCTGTACATTTGTAAACGCAAAATCGTGTAGATTTAGCAATGATATTACCCAAGCTCAATTAAGTTCTCAAAGACGCCGAAGGGGCTTGGAATTCACCTACAAACACAGCCTATAGAATTAATTAAGCAGCGTGCAGGCAAAACATGGGTGTGAAAGGTGTGAAACTTTGACGACGTCGAGATACCCGGAGTCGTCCGTGCATGACGAGCGACCCTATCTGACAAACAGTTAGGTTCAGTAGAGCAGAAAATTGCCGATGTCGACATATACCAGGTAAATTTTGCTGTTGGGACTGTGAATATACGTCGAGATAACCCGGGTTGTCGACATTACCGAGGTCTACATATCAGAGTTTTTGCAAATCATTTATATAGTATAAATACTGCCGGGACCGCGGAAGGATGCATATATCGACATATCCCAGGTTGTCGACATATCCGATGTCGAGATACCGAAGTTTACCTGTATTTGGGCTACTTTTGTAAACTTACCACATTCATACCCTATATTGTTCAAAATATTATATTTTTTATACTATAATTCAATCCTATAGCAAAACAAATGAACTTTCTCAAATTAAACAATTCTGTAAGTTTTAAAGGTTGTGTTTGTTTAAACAATTATCTGACATGCCTAAGAAAATTTTATAAGATAAGTCTTAAGACGTGTCTTAGGATATTTCTTAGGACATATCTTAGGACTATTTTCTTAGGGTGTAAAACATCTAAAAATATCGTTAGTTTAAGATATTATTGATATCCTACGTATTTTTTTCTTTTTTTTTCTCTCTCTCTCTTTCATAAAACAAATTACAATGTACATGTAATTCATATTACCAGTTCAATCATATTCGAATTTGGAACTTTCTAGAATTTTCAAAGTTATTGAAAAATCACTCCCCTTTCCCACCACACTCCTGATAAAATGGCAAAGACATTCATATAAATATTCTGTATATTTATGAAAGAAAGCAACTTGACCCCCAACACCAATCTAGGAAGAAAACAACAAGTAGAAAAGTGAAACTACATATTTTTTGTATCCATAGATATTGTATTGTTATAAGAGGTTTAGATAAAAGTTGCTTAGGAGTGATGAAATACAACTATTGTGAGGTGTTTTCTTTTTATTAAACAGTAAAAATATAATCCTAATTAACCCTTTATCATTATAATATGTATCATTCACACACCATACGAAAAGTTTGGATCAAACGAACTTTTCTCCTGTGACAGAAACCAATGAGAATTAGTTATGTTATATTTTAAAACATTTCTTGAGTAGCTCTCTCTCTCTCTCACTCTTTTATTAACAACCAGTCAAATCATCCCCAACTAGGTACATGTATGTATCTATGTCCTAGACATATGTTTGTGTCGTTTCATCGTTAACTTTTTTTTATCTCATGGATAGGAGTCATATCCCTATCATCACTGTAATGCTTGGTAATTTGTTTCTCTGCATTATCGCCCGACGTCACCATTTTTAACAAAATCTAATTGAAAGTGTTTTGGCATATCACGTTATATTCTGGTCACTTATGATGCATAATCAAAGAATTAAAGAATTTTTCACAAGTGTATTTTTGAGTTTTTATTGAAGTATTTTGTGTATTATCTTTTTATATTGCCTGGTAATAAAGAATTCTTCACTGACAATGCTTTTTCGAAAACTAAAAAAAAAAAAAAAAAAAAAAAAAAAAAAAAATGCCGTTCGTCGACAACAAACATTTGACAGTATTTAAACGCTTTTTTACATGCATATGTCATTACAACATTACATATATAATATTTGTCAAAAAAGGAGAATATCATTTCCCAACAAAGTGTAAAAAACAAGCATTCTGAGAGTATTGCATTAGTAATACTAGTCCCCTACTGGCAAGTGTAATCTGGTTCCCGTTAAGAATTGAAAATGCCATAATTCCGTCAAAAATTAATGAAGCGGGACGAAATGCAAATTTGATCTATAACAAATCAAGGGTAAGCCACATACCAAAAATCAGCTCAATATCTACAAGCGTTTAGAAGAAAATTGCGGAAAACCCATAAAAATTGAAAAGGCCGTAATTCCGTCAAAAATCAATGAAGCGGAACGAAATGCAATCGTGATCTGTAATTCATAAAGATACACTCACATACTAAAAATCAGCTCAATATCTGCAAGCGTTTAGGAAAAAAAGTGCGGAAAACCAAGTGGGACAGACTGACAGAAAGACAGAGGGATAGACAGACAGACAGACAGACGGACAGACAGACGGACAGACAGACAGACAGACGGACAAACGGACGGACGGACAGACTCAGAGGAAACCTATAGTCCCCTCCGGTTGCACCGGTAGGGGACTAAAAATAATTTCATTTTGTTCGGAAAGTTTTTGAAATATTCAAAATGTTTGATCGCGTGTTTCTGGGACTACCCTCGTCCTAATATATGTAACAGTTTAGTACAATAAACAAGTATTATATTCTTAACTTGTACGAAAATATTTCAATAAGATTTTAATAAGACTACTTACAAAATGATTTTTCGAATATTGTTAACTATTTTAAAAAAAAACCTACATGTGCATGGAACTATACCCCCCCTCCCCCCCTCTCCCCCCCCTCCCCCCCCCCTATATTATTATCATTATTATTTAATATTCGTTTTCAAAGAGTTTTAAATAAACATTCATAGTTATATTTTAACCTGTTACATGTATAATTTAGATCTATCGTAAGTTTGTCCTCGGATATATCTTAGTCATAAGAAAGCTTCATAGGCATTCCTGCAGATCTGCACTTAATTTGTTGAGATACTTAATTGTATACATTTAAAAAAAAAAAAATGTTTTGAATAAATAATGTTATTCCATTTTGTGTTTATTTGCTTTCAAGTTAACATGTTCTGTTGAAGTCTCTGCCAAATCTTTGAACTGAATTAAATTTGTGTTGACAGTTATCTTAATAAATAAATAAATTACTTTTCATTTATTTGATTATACCACTGTCAATACCTGAACATAACTCCCAATCCTTGTCAAAATTAAACGAAACATTTATACTTTGTTGTTCCTATTTTAATTGTGTCCTTTGATCTTTGTTAAAGTTATAACTCAAACGACATTGCCCTTTTACTGGCAAAAACAAGCTGATGGTAGTTTTGATGTTCGTTGTATTTTTTTTTTCGAATACCTTAAAGTCACAAGACAAAGCCAGAATAATTTTGCACCTCGTCGATGACTATTGGAATTTTGATTGGTTTAATTCTAAATTGAGAATATTGGTGCTGCTATTGGTGCTGCTAACTTTACTATGTGTCAAAACTCTTACTCATTTGCTAATGAGTAATATTATAATACAAAATGTGTTAATGAAATATTGTTTGAGGATAACAAACAGTAATCAAGCACAAAAGCCATTGAAAAAAATAATAATAAATTTAGCAGAGCACACATGGCCAGCTGAAAACATCAGAGGTCGGATCAGGTGTCATGGAGGAATAAGCATCCCCTGTCGACCATTCACAACCGCCGTGTGCTCCTTGTCTTGAACGGAAAAATCAGTAGACAATTCATTGTTAAAAAAATAAAGCCTTACAGCCTTCCACTTAATGATTATAAACTGTACTTACTAACAAGGTCATGGTATCAACCACAGACTTATGTTGCCTTTAAACGAAACTTGTAAATTTGTATATGCCGACTTTTACCACCTCAGTTGTTTATGTGTCAATTCCATGTGTTTTTTATTATCAAAGATATTCAGTGATGACCAAAGTGTGTTTTGAGAAAAGAAGACGTCCAATTTTGTGAAAATAATACCACTTAGAATGCAAAATACAAAACATCAACACCATAAAAAATGCCGATGTTTTGATTATAGAAAAAAAAGTCTTTTCAATTTATTTTCAAAAGAATTGTTTCATTAAAATACATTGTTCCCAGTCCCAATTTTATTAAGGAGTAAAAAATTAACCACAAACCAATTCTGATATATCAATTCTAGACGCTATATTCTGGGGACATAAATATACAAGCATAATGAATAGGGTAAAGATAAACTGTGTTTGATCTCTTTAATCTTTTAACCAGTGCAAATTAGGAGTGCAAAAACTGACATCAGCTCACTTTTGATCTCAGGCCCACTTTTCCAAAATAAATTCCTTCTGTTTAAGTGAAACTGTGATCAAAATAGAACTAAACCATGTTTTAGTTCCGTATCCAGGTGTCTAAAAGAGCACGCATCCCCTGTTGGTCACACATTCTGCACGTCCTCTTTTTTATAATGTAAAGAAATAATCCGTAGTCACATTAATATTAAACAATTGCCTAACATAATCTTAGTCTATGTTCTGAATTTTTTAGCACATGTATATTATAAAATATTCTTCATAAAGAGAATATATACCAGTTCTGTTGGCAGAATTCAACCAATTTTTTCCTTGTCCACCTTTTTTCATTTTTCTCATAAGTAGATGTCTTCATATGTTCTTCCAAAAAGAAAATAGCTTAAATTGATTTAGAGCATACATTAAATAATCCAAAAAAATATAGTATACAATAAAGTTGTAGAGCTAAAATTACATGCAGGAATGTTATTCTGAAATCACATGTATAAACGGATACGGCAAATAGCTTTAATGGTCATTTAAATGTAAATAGACAGTACTCACGGTTAGCATTATTCATTGGCGTTTTCTCGGTTTCATGCACTTCACTTTCATTGTATGTATTCTTAGGGCAAACTTATAAAATAAGTACAAATAATCTTTATAATTACATATATAAAAAAGTTGATATTCTTTAGAATTTCTTTTCACATCCATCAAACACATTTTACTTCAAATGTTCTATTTTTAGGAATTTGTAAGAACTACATGTATAAGCAAAGTACATGTAATCGTGAAGAAAAAATCGGAAAAAAAGAACAGTAAACATGCGACGTTGGAGAAATGCACATATGCAGTGAATATCCCTTGACACTTCTGATTAAGTAATAAAAAATACTGTTTATCTTATACATTCTCCTATAAAACTCGGAAATCTGATGTAAAAAAATATATAGCTTCAATGGATGTGAGTTAAAACTTAAACAATTGATCACACTCTTCGTGCAATAAAGACGTTAAGACCAAAACACTTTTTAACATTTCTGCCCTTAAACAGATAGCAATAAAGATTTCATTATCAATTATACTTTGCACAAGATTTTAGAAAACTTCAATATTTACTCGAAATTTATATCAACGACATTTGGAAATCTGAGCTGCAAATCTTAATATTTAAAGTATGTGAATATTGTTATATTTTTTGCTATACATTTAATTTGATGAGCAAGATAAGCCGAAATTGATATTCAATTTATTAACACCTCTGACGCAATTAAATAAACATACATGCGCTATCTAAACTAAATCGTTATGAATTTTCTTTAAAAAACAGATTGGCCTTAGGTAGAATTTTGATATTCAATAATTCGAAGTTGATATGCAGGTGACACAGATTCTTTCGAAATAGAATTATGGATGTTTGAGTTTTTGACAAACGCAATTTACAATGTGATGAGATTAAGAAAAAAACAAAGTCTAACGCACAAAATAAATTCGTTAATTAATACACACAATAAATACGTAAACTAATCATATTATGTTTTACTTACTCTTTTCTTTGAAATTGTATCCAAACGCCAGTATAATTACCACAATGCTTACAAAGACTATTACTCCAATGGTAATAATTAAAATGTACCACCACTTCTCCTTAGGAACATCAAAGTCCTTATCTTTTTTTAGGGTTTCCTCACCACTCTTTGAGCTATAATGAAAGGTTAGAAATGGATCATTATTTAGAATTGTTTTTGTTAACATAAGATGTAAATTCGCGCAGGAAAAATTACTGTGAAACATGGTTACACCGAACATGCATTTAACCCCTGTTATTTAAAACATGATGCATTTATCAATATCAAGGAATTTTGCTTATAATGAATGAAAATTCTTTGCCCTTGCAAAATGGAATATCACAATATGTGTACTTTTCTGCAGCTGGATTTCGCGTGGGAAACAATAGATTCCTTAATAACATATTCTAGATATTGTTTTATCGTGATCTCGAATATTTCCAAAACTTTTTTTTCAGCCTCAGAGACTAACTCTCTTAATGATACACCCTAATGAACCTATACTTATATACTTTTTGACAGGGATATCTTCAGGTTTAAATCAAATTGTTAAAATAAACTCTTGCTTGTTGATGCGAATAAGTACATATAGCATTTATGTAATAGTCCTGATACTCCTCCATTTCCTTTTTTAATATATATATTTTTTACACATATATTTACCTCCTTGATACCCTCCTTTACCCACACATTTAAATGCAAATGAAATAACACATAAAAATCTCAGTCTCAATTCCTTATGTATTATTATTAAATTTTTAAAAACCTATATTTTTATAGTTTTTCAAATAGTTTTTTCCATCAAATTATACGAAATTTCATGTAAATAAATGCACAATTTAATCAAAACAATGCTTATTACAGTTATATCCCTTGTAATAAAATGGGGCAATTTTTTTTTTTTTTTTTTTTTTCAACTAAACTTTATTCTTTTAAATTTTATTTTATTTACTTTATTTTATTCATCTCTTTTATTCAGAAAATATACACTATTTCTTTAAATTAAACCCGGGAAAGGAAAGTGTTATAGAAGATTTATTTAAGTTATTTGAAGAGCATATTCACTATTGTGTTAGTATGTATTGTATGTATTAAACTTTTATTTATTTTCAGTATATAAAATAAGAATGTTAGATGTGGATAATAGATTGATTAATTGATTGTATGTTGTTTTACGTCCCATGCGAGAATTTTCACTCATATAGAGACGTCACCATATACCGGTGAAGGGCTTCAAATTTTGACCTTTACTCGGCACCCGGGGCCATTGAGCAGTGAGGGTTCTTTATCGTGCCAACGTCTGCCGTGACACGGGGCCTCGGTTTTTAAGGTCTCATCCGAAGGACCCGCAACTTTCACTTCAAAGTGCAGAGCGCTTGGCGAAGGAATAGTTGCTACCCATCTTTTATCGACTTAGGTCAATCGCGGCCGAGATTCGAACTCACGACCTCCCGATCACGGAGCGAGCGCTCTACCGACTGAGCTACCGTGAACGATCTGTGAATAATAGGAAGAAATCGCTATGAGCTGATGTTTTGCCGCGCATCAAAATTTGTATCAGTATAATAAATCATTTAAAAACTATACAATTAAATGAGACAGTAAGATACTAGTTCAACTCCCACATATACATATACTTGTTCTGAATAATAATATCAATATTTCAACATAACTGTATTGACTGAAAACGCTGATGGTGAGACCACCCCCCCTCCCTCCCGCGAAAAAAAAAAATAAATAAATAAATGATAAAATTAAACGAAAAAAAAAAATCTAGATTGATTCTAGATTCTCAATAGAAGTTCATAGGCTGAAAGTAATGAAAGTTGATTTACCGGTAGAGTTTATTCAGTCTTTTCTATTTGAGGCGTGTTCTGGTTTTCTTTGGATTATTCTTTACACTCATTATGCATCACTTGTACGTCTGTCTACTTCCAAAATATTCCAATGTAAAACTGTAATCACCAATTGTGGGCCCCACCTTATTATAGGGTCATGATTAAAAAAAAAATTGAATCAACATTACCTGAGGATGCTTTCATATATATTTATAATAATCATGGCTTTACTGTTCTTGAGGAGAAGATTTTTGCTAATATAAATTCCTATGTAAAAATTTGATTGCCCGTTTTGGCCTTACTCTACATCCTAGGCCATGATTTGCCCAAATTTGAATCTACACTACCTCATGATCCTTCCATATAAATATGATAAATCAAGACTTGGCTGGTCTTGAGAAGAAGATCTTTTAACGATTTATCCTTTTAATTCCGATGTAAAATTTTGATCACTCATTGCGGCCCCTGGAAGTCATGATTTGAACAATTTTGCATTTACACTACCTGAGGATGCTTCCATATAAACATGACTAATCATGGCTTTGCTGTTCTTGAGTAGAAGATTTTAAAGATATTCCTATGTATACCTATGTAAAACTTTGGTTGCCCATTGTGGCTCCTTCCTACTCCTAAGGTTGATGATTTGAACGAACTTGAATCTACGCTACCTGAGGATGCTTTCACACAAAAATGACCCTGCATAGCTTTGCTGTTCCTGAGAGGACGATTTTAAAAGATTTTCCCTATATATTCCCATGTAAATCTTTTTTCGCCCATTGTGACCCCACCCTAGACCCAAGGGTCATGATTTGAACAAACTTTATTCTACACTAGTACTTTGTCAACAAGCTTTCACATAAGTTTCATCTTTCCTTGCCCAGTGGTTCTTGAGAAGATTTTGAAATGACCACAGCCAATTTTCAATTTTTCTTAATTATCTCCCCTTGGAAGAAGGTGTGGTCCTTCATTTGAGCAAACTTGTATATCCTTTTCTCAAGAATACTCTGTGCCAACTTTTGTTGAAATTGGTCCAGTGGTTCTGCAGAAGAAAATTAAATTGTAAAAAAGTTTTCGAGAACGACGCCAACGACGACATACAACGGACAAATTTTGATCAAAAAAGCTCACTTGAACCTTCTGCTCAGGTGAGCAAAAAACAAAAACGGTAATGGACAGAGAGACAGAAGGCAAAGAGACGGAGGGAAGACGGACATGTGAAACACTATATGCCCTGGATATATGAATAGGGTATCATAGTTTCTATTTATTTGTGTTGGGATAATTACTATCTCGCAAATATTTTACTTTTGAAAGTCTTTGACTTGACTGATTGAATCTTTTTTTTTATTAAAAATAGATGAATAAAAGCTCTTCGTTTTCTGCATAGTTTTTGCTGAATGTTGACCATTTATCAAATATCATGATACAGTAAACATACCTGTTTATAGCTTCATAGCTAGAAGTCGTGAAATATCTTGTACTTCTGATAGCTGAATGTGTTGAAAACAAACTGCTTTTGGTATCAGCCTCTTCATTTGTTTGAAATTGGTAACATTCTTTGTCTATTTAAATAAAATTTGAACACAATTTATCAATGTGCATATTATGTAAAAGCTACATGTGTCTCCTACTAGTCTTATATGGACAGAGCAAGGGACCTATGTCAGCTCATCTGATCGATGATTGCCCGACATTATGAGTGACTAAAGGTAGCATGTGCATATCTTTATGAACATTAGCTTTTTTTATTTCTTCCTTTCTGATATCAACGTTAATGTAATTGTATTAAATGGATATTCTATGACATAATTTTCTAAATCGAATTTGCGGGGCTTTTTGGCACTAAGTACAGGTACATGTACGAACTACATCTACCATGCTTTTCTTTTAATAAGACGAAAAAATGGTTTATGATTAAACAAGAAAATGTATTTTGTTGTTATCAAATATTTCCCTAAAAAAAAAACAAAGTATTATCCACGGTAAATCAAAAGTCGATAACATAAGTCTATAGACTGATTACAGGAAATCAAAATTGGCGGCAAAAATTGCATGAAAATTTTCCGAGGGGTGGTAGCAAAAACTATACCAAGGGGTATAGCTTAGCTATGCTTGGAAATTTTCAGACTTTAAAAGATAGTCATTTTACCTTCTTAACTTTATATAGGAATCATTTTATCAGCAGAAGTATAATAATACCCTCTACAGTACATGAACATATAAAAGATTTTGATATAGTAAATCAAAATATATATACAATGGATAATCAAGTCCCATAGTATTGAGCTCAGTACAAAATGTAACAAAGAATACATTTTGACATTATACGAAGCTTAATACTGTTACCTTGAACAATATCGAGCTTAATAAATCTTTTGATATAGTCGATTGCAACTTTGATGAATCAAATTTAATAATATACACTATTATAATTTTTATTAACTAGAGTAAATCAAAGTATCAGAGTTATGACTTTCGCATAATTAATCCCCACAATTGTTTCCACCCCAAATCTATTTAGGTTTAATTGACACTAGTTTATTTTAGTATTGTTTTAGGATATAGCATTAAAATAAATTAAAAACAAATATATTTGCACAAGGCATTATGATTATTCAAATGAAAGGAAGTTGCTAGGGCAATTATTTACATTGCATTAAGACAAATTATGCATATGTATCCGCTTTAAAAATTTCTAAATTTATGGTTTTAATAATATATAAAAATGAGCTTATAAAATATAATATTTGGTAAATAAGTGTCGCTTATTTCATTTACAGATACATCAAAACTGTTAAGAGTATAAGTACTCTATTAAAGTCGTTAAGCTTTAACAAAAATTCTTTTTAGGTTGATTATCAAAGTTCTAGCGTTTGCCTGTAAAACTGATCTGGTTTCATTTAGCAAGATTAACAATTGTTTTGTTTTTCGTTATATACCGGATACATACATACATACATACATGTACATACATGTATATACTGATTAAACATGTATATTAGGAAGTGTCAAGAAAACTTATCTATGAATACAAAAATAAATCGAGTATGATATTTTTTATGCTAGAATGTGATAGAAGTTATGTTTGGTTGCTTTTATTACGAATTCAGAATACTGTCCAGGTAAACTTACAATTAAAAACATTAGACGAAATATACTTAAAAGGACAACTGTTGCAATTCTTCTCTGCATGTTCCTGGAGAAATAGACCCCCGGTTGTGAATTCCGTACAGAGGCCACCTAAATCGTTAAATACGAAGAGGGATAGTAATCAAAGAGACAAATGAGCAAGATAAAAAAAAAAAAAAAAAAAAAAAAGTTTTCATTATATTAGAATTTAAATTATACTTTGAAAAATATTTCAGCTCCAAAAGTTAAGCAGAAATTAGTTTATTCTTTTACCTATTATATCCACAACTGGTGCGCAAAGTTCGATAGTACCATCACCTTTTGCATTCAAAACACAGTGGTATTTGTAATTTGCAGCTGAAGTGCAGTTCTGCTCGTGTTGTTCACAGTTGTACAATTTTGCTCTTTCTCCTAATTCCCTTTCATTAGTTGGACACTTAACATTGTGTCTGGCGGTTGAAAGAGAATGTGGACAGGATGTTTTCTATGGAGTAATCATCACAAAAGAGTGTTTGAAAAAAAAGGTGCTCTTTACTCCCTGAGAAATATTTTACTCAAATTCTATAATTTAAAAGACAACATCATATCTATCCTTTTATTTAAAAAAATGTTATGTTACACAAAAAGACCGTTTATATAATGTAAAACGTGAGGATAACGAACAGTGATCAATTTCATTAATAAGGAAGTAAAACCAAATGTGAAAAGGGCCAAAACACGAAAAAACAGAATTTCATCAGTTTGTAGCACTTTTCGAAAATCTTGATATATCTTGAGTTTACTTGTAAAAGATTGTCATGATACATTGTGGGTATGCCCTTGCAAATATTGGTTTATTAAACCCTTATATCATCCTCCGATTAATATGCATACAAATATACGGCAGTATCATTTCACTAGGCCATAATAGTCTATAGTCAGTAAAAACCTTCAAATATGAAACAGATCTGACGGACTTTGTAGGTCTTTATATCGAGTTTACTGGGATATCGAGTAGAGATATGAACGTCTTCGATACATCTGACCGTTGAGTTGAAGGCCACTGAAAGAGTTTCCTTGTTCTCATGAAAGAGTTTTTAAATAAATTCTCCGAATATGGTTATAAAAACAGATCGCCTAATAACGGAGCACGATTACTGTATATCAGAATTCCAACAGTTGTTAACACAAAATGAGGAACTCAAGCATCTTTTTAATATCATTTTCAGAGTACTTATATCTAGATTCAGAATGACTTTTAAAAAGTATTTTTTTTATAGATGATAAGTAACAAGATATTAAAATTAACCAGTTCTATTTTTATTAGGGTAGCAGTTGTTTATGATGTCAAAGAGTCTGCTCTTCCATTTATCGTGAGGAATAGTTGTATAAATTTGAGAAAATTTATATATTGAGATGTTAATGATGAATTATGAGTTTGGGGATTTTAAATTTATCAGAAATTCTTCAGAGGTTTCAGAATCCATATTTATTTTACACCACTCCATGAATATATTGTAGAACACTACCCGTCTGAAGTTTCTCCTTCACCGCAATTAATATTTTGGTCAGGAGTAAGGATAATTTTAGTGAACATTTACAGTGAATAACATTTAATGTGAATAACAGCAATCAAAACTTTTTTTAACGAGAAATAAAAGTCAAATACACAGCTGTATAATTAACATTTCATTGGTAAAATATAAATAATCCATAACAAAATAAAAAAAAAAAGAAGCAATACCTCTATTGTTTGGACAATAGGTATGCATAAAAAGAGAAGACCAGCTCTGATGATCATTTTGATTTCCTTTATGTTGATTCGTAAATTCTATGACTTAGCGTTGAGCTTGGATTCTGAAAAGAAAAACATGATACATAATACTTCTTTTCATGCTTATTGTACATTTGATGATTTTATAGCCTATATCAGAACAAAATACACCGATACGCTTATATCTTTAGGCTAAATATGATTTTATGTATGTAAGTGACTGAATGTTTTATTACATATATAGAGACAGGCGTTATACAAATTAAATACTTAAAACACAATCCAAATCAAAAAGAGAAAATCAAAATTCCTTTTTCAAACCTGATTTTTCAAATCTGAAGTCGAAAATGGTCTAAAAGTCAATAAGTGAGCCTCTACAAGGGAGCTTTTCGAGAAATTCACCACTTTAAGTGCAATTTAAGAGAGGAACGTTCCTCTTCATCAGAAATCTTCCTCGTTGTCTCCTTACTTCTATGCACAAGAACTGTATTTGAGGAACGTTCCTCTTTTATTTCAGATTGCTTATAATAAATATGTGTGTTTGTATATACAATGCTATATGAGGAACGTTCCTCTATCAATTTCAATTGATAATACATACTATATCCATGAACCCTAATACAGTTTATACTTGAGGAACGTTCCTCTACCAATTCTAATCAATGATACAACAAACATCAATTTAAATACACTGAACATTTGAGGAACGTTCCTCTTCCCATTTTAAAATATTATCAATATATACATGAATCTGAACCCAATGAATCTGAGGAACGTTCCTCTCCTAAATGTTGGCACTGGCTTCATAAGAGGAACGTTCCTCTCCTATTTGTTGGCAACGGGTTCATAAGAGGAACGTTCCTCTCCTATTGACACTGGCTTCATAAGAGGAACGTTCCTCTCCTATTGACACTGGCTTCATAAGAGGAACGTTCCTCTCCTAACTGTTGGCACTGGCTTCATAAGAGGAACGTTCCTCTCCTATTTGTTGGCACTGGTTTCATAGAGGAACGTTCTTCTCCTATTTGTTGACACTGGCTTTACAAGAGGAACGTTCGTCTCCTATCTGTTGACACTGGCTTCATAAGCCTGAACACATAACATATATGAGAAACGTTCCTCTTCCCATTTTAAATTTTAACTCTTTATACATGAAAACAGAGGATTTGAGGAAAGTACGCTGGTATCCCCTAAGGAGTAGATGACTCCTGTTGATTTTAAGATCACAAGATCACACATCAAGGATGAAACTTCTCTGGACAAAGAAAGATATTGTCTGCTTAAAATTTATATAAAAAAAAAAAAAAATTAAAGTTTGTAGGAAACTGAGAAAAAGATGTTGGTCAAATTTGTAACCCTTTTTGTAAATGTGGTGGTTTTTATGCATTTTAACCACAATAATTTTAAAGCCACAGAGTGCAAAGATTCATAATCAATTTGCATTTCCTGTACAGCATGACATGTTTCATTCATGGTTCACCATTCATTTGGTAATTCTTCTGGATCAAGTATAAAGAAATATTTTAAATGTATATCATTATTCGAGTGATGCGTCAATCATGTGATTCTTTCCATCTATCACTTAAGATTCCCGTTAACTTATGAATTAATAGATATTTTCTTATAGGAAAGGGAACACTGAAAAAGAGCTATGTTTAGGCCTACATGTACATTCTTGTGTAAAGGTGTGGAACAACCCCCCCCCCCCCACTTGAAAAAAAAAATCCTGGATTTGCACATATTGCTTGTAAATATCAAATCATTTAATTATTATTTTAAAGATGCAAACCTGCAACTTTAGTAAAGCAAAATGCGGTCATGATTTATGAGCCTTAATTTCATATGGTAAAGGGAACTGGGAGAGAATACAGTGTGTGTAAAGTACTGTCATGTAGCTCGATAAGTCTCTCTGTGATCTCGGGTCCGTGCATCGGTTGCAAAAATGATAAAAGGAATATAGGTAGAAACTGTTCCTTCACAAAATGTTTGGTACTTTGTAGTTTAAGTTGCAGGTCTTTCAAATGAGACCTCGAACGGGCGCACCATGTCTGAGGTGTTTGCACGCCAGAGAAGCTTCACTGCTCAATTGCCCTGAGTATCGTGCGAATAAGTAAAGGTCTAAATTTGAAGCCTTCACCAGCATCAGGTGACCTCTCAGACAAGTGACATTTTCCTCCAAGAGACATACAGAACTACAACAATCAATCAATCAAAAAGTTATACTGCATTCTCCTGAACACATACAAATTTACCACCGATTTGATATAAAGCTGCCATTAAAACATACACGTAGAAATTAAAAAGAAATGTAACAATGACAATTTTCTTAAATATTTAGAATTGTATTTAATATCTATATGAAATGATAAAAATTGAAACTAAGTATCCTTACCCTTAACTTTTCTAGTTTATTTCATCCGAGATTCAAATGTAAATGACCAATCAATTCTATTCGGTTGAACATCCACTCATTTAATGGAAAATCAAATAATATTACAGAAATGCGTTTCTACTGATATGTATCCCGGCCCGGTTTGTTCATACAATTCTTCATCGCATACATCAAGTGCTTGAACAAGAATAATTATTTGTCCGTATCACAGTATGATACACAGGTACATGTAATATATCATTGTCAATTTCTCCATTTCTTAATTCCCCATTCAATCAAACTACAGAACATTGTCTTCTGATGAATACTATTCCTGCTAGTCAATTAAAGCAAGCTCTTCATGTGCAATTGACCTACTGAATGGAAACACGGTGCCACTATTTGAAGAAATGTCAATCAAGACACTCCACACTGAAATGATTGTGGGTGTGTTATCAGACTTTGGGCATGTGGATCTCTCAAACATAGCAAACCCATGTTCTCGATGTCAGCTTAGAGTATAGTCATGAAACAGAAAAACTACTTTGCTGGATAAAAAACGCGGCTATGTTAAGGCTGTCCGAAGGCTTAATATGCATTGAAAATACGCTATTATATTTTGAGCTAGATTTTGATTTCAATTTGTAATCTATGTATACATGTGCAGTAAATTTGTGATGAGAGTTTAATAACGTATTGAGAAAATGCATAATTATGATGTTACATGACTGTGTTGATCACGTGGCGGACACTTATAAAATTTCCTAATTGTTGCACAAAAATCCTATCGGCACAAGTGAAAAACAAAATTATTGAGAATAGTTTGTTACATAAATCAATCAAACGTATTCTTGGGTATATATAAAGTGCTGGGGGCAAGTCTGAGTTTTCCTTCTTAAGAAAATATTTCACGAGAAATTCAACTTACCCACATACAAGGGGGCATTTTCCACTCTTCATCGCAATTTGTACAAAGTAGGATAAATTACATACGATCCCCCAGCAAAATTCAGTTAGAAGACACACTTCTCCAGTAGATTCACTTAGAACATCTTCAGTTCATCTTTATTAATCACTTGTGCCAGTCTAATATATGCATGATTTATAAATTCTAACCCTGTCTACGGACGTGTAAGGGGGAGCATTTCATATTCATTTTTTATTATTGTCTGAATACGTACATTATCAGAAAGAGAAAGGAATAACGATATTCTATTGCAAATAATCACCATCATAACAGCACATAGAAACTTTAACCAACAATTCAGACACCCGATTTAAACATCAACGTCGAAATAAAATCTACATGCCATGGGAAGGAATGTAAAAGTTATGACACTTTCCCCGTCATGACTGCTCAAGTTTGCAGTGACTTGACGTCATATTCTATTATGACGTCATATCTTGGTATTTCAGAGAAGTAACAACGGCTGGTACACTGTGATATTTATCGGACAGCCTTATCCTAGCCGCGAACAGGATGTTGCAGTCACTCACTATTAAGGATGTATCAAGGTACATAAGCAAATATTTATTTAAATGTATGATAAATCTTTATGTATACCATGTATTGTTTGCATAAAAAATGGAAATAAAAGATTTAATCAATAACTTTGTCAAAGTTATTATAGCCTATTGAAATGCTAGATTAGACACTTCTAAATAACAGTAAATTATGAATGAGAAATTTATTGTTTTGATAAATAAACTAATGTGCATTTGGTTTCAGTGTAATCTATCCGGTCATGACACCTGTTGCAGCAGCAGTTCATTACTGAAAGAAGGATCCTAAACAAATCAAGTATGTAGTCATAATTATCATTGAGAAAATTAGAAATTCTTTGACATCCAGTGTATGTTTTCAAATGTTGTGCATAGCAGCAATGAGACTGCTTGTTTTTATTTTATTTATTTATTCTGTTGGGGTGGAGGGGGGGGGGGTCCATGTTGATGATTTAAGAGAAACACTAGGGCTGTGTATTGAGCAAAAAAAATTGATACGATGCGATATTTTATTATGCGATATCCGATATATTGGATTCTTTAACAAGTCTATAAAAAAAGTCTTATGATTCATTTAATGCATGAATTTTATAAAAACTAATTGTTTTATATCCCATTTCGAAGTTCTTGTCTCACTGTCATAACAAATTACACTTCAAATTCAAACTTTTAATGAATGTGAAAAAAAACATTTTAAATAAAGTTGTCTATGTATTTTGTAATATATTTATCTAAGATGTGCTATCTCCTTAATGATTATATCATTATTGATCAATTTTAATTCAAAACAGTGAAAAAATATAACCTTTGGTGATTGAAATTCCCAACTTTTTCACAGAATTAAAAGAAAATCTGCCTGTCCGATACATATTGGAAGTTCTTTTTTCGATACGATATATTCTTAAATATTGATACGTATTGATTATTCGATATATTGATACAGCCCTAAAAAACACATACACGTAAAAAAGACATCACACACACAATTATTTTTAATAAGAAAACTGATGCCTAAACAATAAAAGTTTTTTTGGAAATAACATTCCTTGTTCATGTTGTTCATGATAATGTTATGCAGTCAAAATACCTAACCCATGTAAATTAGTAGGAGTTTTTTGTGTTGGGACAAAACTTTTGACATTTGTTTCCCAAAAGTAAAATTGATAATAATTCTTATTGATATCTTTCTCCTTAAAAAAATTGCTCATC